TCAACCACCAGCATGATACCAAGATCTTACAGAAAACCGTATTAAGAACTTTTTCCTTGTTTTTCACCGAGTGGTTAACGGACGCCCAAAATTATGACCAGGAGAGGAATTAAAGGGTGCCAACATACTGGTCTCTCTTGAGTTGCGGGTGTTCATCGAAAGTGTCTACGTGGCTGTAGTCGCTTCCCACGAGGGGACCCGTCTGCTCGTTTGCGCTTATACCTTAAAGAAAAGTCTTCGTCTATCTGACGGGCCTGTTGGTCTAGTGGTTAGTGACCCTGACTGCTAAGCCAGTGGTCGGGTTCGATTCCCACCCAGGACCAATAATTGTGTGATTAGCACGATGATTTGTTCTGTGTCTGGGTGTTATCTATAATATGTATGTATTTAGAAGTATATAAGTATGTTTATTAGCAGTCTGGTTACCATAGCACAGGCTCTGCCTAGTTTGGAATCAGACGGCCTATGTGATGTGTGAAGTTAAAAAAAAGAAAAATTACATAATTGACTGAAACACAAAAACAAGTAGGTACATAGGAGGGCTGCTATTTATGTACAAATAGTATGAAACAAACATATAGCATTTATTGTAGTTTTATTGCTTTTCAAAATATTCGCCGTGATGATCGATGCACTTCTGCATACGTTGGAACCAATTTTCGTAGCACTTTAATTACATTACAACTAATACCATAACCATGATTATATTCCAAGTAAATACGAGACGAATCTACTCCATATGAAGACGAATTCAAGTTCAGGAGTACTGCTTGTCACTGAATATATCGACATCCTGATCTGTACGCAATATATTATTAAGCAGTTCGATAGCTCTGACAGTAGGAGCAGTAGCTTCGTGTGCTGAGCGACTCGTTGGAGGATGAGTGAGGAGTTGCACGCATGTACTGTGCCGGTACATACAAACAAATGCATGCCCGTCCCGATGGGTTGTCTACGTTTTTGGCCAATAGGAAGTATAGAGAATAGAAAGTATAGATATTTTAGACTCATGAACTTATTTCAGAAGATTTTCTTGAATAAAAAATCTTAATAAGGATATTGCCAAGTCTTAAACAGTTTTGTAATCTTTGAGTGAATCACCCGAGATACTTTTGCCTTTCTCACGCTTTAACTGGCGCTATATTTGGATCACTATATTAGATTTGTTCCACACTTGAGTTCATTCAGGAACACTTCTTAGGATCGATCTATGAATCAGAAGGTTACGAAGAAACTACGTTATGATGATAAATATTCCCGGTAATATTTCTGATCCATTAATATACAAGTGTGTGTGGATATTTCTCTTAAACTGAGATGGTAAACAATAAATTGAAATCAGAATTTGATTTGGTTAACTAAAAAAATACACAGATAACTGACAGACAGACAGACGGACCTATTAATCTGGTGGTTAGCGATCTCGACTCACGGTGGGGCCAAATCCAAAAAAGCGAAGCAAAAATCTAAAAATAAAGTCCATGATCCAAAGTTTCTTCCTCGGGGGTTTTCATCGTTACTGATTACGAATTTGACGTCAAATTCTCAAAAAATTACCCACTTTACCCTTAATTAGGGAAGGGAGTGGCCCTTGCACGAAATAACCCATATTACAAAATGTAATCAAGTTACATATAAAATACAAGGTTAATGTCAAATTCACAAAAACAACACCATTTTTTTATGTTGGAGGGGGCAGACGAGCAGACGGGTCACCTGATGGAAAGTGACTATCGCCGGCCATGAACGTCTGCAACTCAAGAGTCACAAACGCGTTGCCGGCCTTTTAGGAAGGAGTACGCTCTTGACCACCCCTTTGCACGAAATACCCACATTTCCTAACGTAATCAAGTTACATATAAAACTCAAGGTATTTAAAGTTGCTGACCACGAATCCATGATTAAAATTAAAGATCTAGTTAATAAGTGGCGAATCTAATATGGCGCCATGAAATTACGAATAGTTTAAGGCTTTCTATATCTCAGCACTCGGGTTTCCAATACTATACTTTATTTTACTAATAAATTCTTAAAAATGAACTGGGCAGTCCGGGTCAGCTATTTTATTTTTATTTTGTAGCTGATACTTAAAGTTACAACCTCCGACAGGTTTAATGACCGAAACGACAGACATCGTAACTTTTTTTTAGTTAATTTTTTTTTTTTTTAATTACTAAAAAATCCACATAATTAATGTTTTTTTTCTAATTTGCGGTTTTTATAAATATTATCTTGCATATAAATTAATATTCTACTTGCCTTCAGAAGTCGATTCCATTCAGCAGAATTGAATTGTCGTTTTGTCAGAATTCTATGCCTCCTTGCGTGCGAGCGTCTTTTTGCCGATTCCAAGCACTATACTAATTACGCCCTAGAGGGTCACGTTTGAATTGGATTCCAGAAGCAGATATAGCAAAGGCAACCTGAAGAATAGTGGTTTTAGGTACTCTAGGGACATTTCTTAAGTCAACTTTACAGAAAAAAGTCGCAAATTTCTTTTTCTATTTTTGGTCAACTTTTTGGAATTTGGCCCCACTGTGCGACTGCTGAGCCAGAGGTCATGGGTTCGATTCCCATCCCGGACAAATAATTGTGTGCTAATCATGATCATTAAATTTCTTCTGTGTAATTTATCTATATGGATGTATTTAGATATATAAAAGTAAGTTTATCAGCATTCTGGTCACTGTAGTACAGGCTCTGCCTCGTATCAGACTAGAACGACAGCCGTGTGTAAGAATTGTAAAAAATAGCTTGTACATCTGTAAATGTAAGTTTTATATGCTTTATAGTTTTTCTCAGGAACAGTAATTTTAGGATGTAAGGTACTCTGTGATCTTCTCTGCAAAGAAAAGGAAAACTTGACACAAGCTCTTTTTTTTTTTTTTTTTTTTTTTAACGTGTGGAAATCCCCTCGGACCGTCACCCCTCCGGGGTTTGCGGCGGGGTGGTGTGTCGGGCTCGGACCGACTAAAACCACACGGTGTGCCACTCTGCGCCTGTAACAGGAGGGATCCGGGAACAGCTGTTGTTAAGACATCCGGACCCCTCCTAGCGCCAGCCCGCTCCTGGTGCGGGCTCAGTCTCAATATTTTTGTTTTCCTCTCTTTAGCTCTATATCAACCCGTCTGGCCAGCGTGGTATAGTAGGCCAAAACCTCCTTTCTAAGGAGAGGCTAACACCCAATAGTGGCCTATTAAAGGCTGTTGATAATGATGATTATCTGTATCCCTGTCAACATACTTATATATTTAAAATGATATAATGACCGGAGAATTTGGAGTGAGTTTTTTTTTATGGAATAGGGGGCAAAAGAGCAGGCGGGTGGATGGAAAGCGACTACCGCCGCCAATCAACTGCAACTCAGAAGTTACAAGCGCGTTGCCAGCCTTTGAGGTAGGAGTACGCTCTTTTCTTGAAGGTTTGAAGGTCGTATCGAGAGGTCGAGGTGTAATAATATAACACATGAATATCTTATAGATGCGTTCACATTTAGTAGCAGAAAAATTTGCAGAATGGATGTTGAGTACCAGTGGCCTTACTTAACAAGAGGAATGTAAAAATACACCTGTACCTACCCAACCTAGTACTGTTTACCCCGATCATCGATAAACTGTATTGACCAATCAACCGACTATAACTATTTCGAGTAAAACTACCTTTACTTCTAATTAACACGATTTATATGGTAAAACCTTCGATATTGATCGAAGGGTAAAACTAACAAAAAATGTGTCCTGTCTACATTTCCTTAACGTTTTCCACACCAACACTAAAAAATATTACAATCCATACTTTATATCTACTATACAAATAAATAAAATTAAAGTGTCTGTTTGTAATGTTAAAATAATAGGTTTTTTTTATGCTCATATGGTTATTTGCACGACGCCTATGCCTGAAAACTAGTTAGAAGGCCAAAACCTCCTTTCTAAGTAGAGGCCCATGTCCAGCAGTTGATATAGGGTTTTTTAAGTTTTCCTCCTCTTTGCAGTGCTGTTGTCCTGCATAGTTTGCTCCCTTAGTCGCCTCTTACGACACCCACGGGATGAATAGAGGTGGTGACACTCCGTATCCTTAATCCGTAACCACACGGAAAAACACACACTACATTTAACTGTCGACCTTATCAACCTAACAATCGAGTTCTGAAAGAAAGACGATATAACTACCTACAGAAAGTTGTAGTCCAAAGACGTGGTGTAAGAAATTGTTACAAATTATGGAGACTTTCATGTATGACGAAAAACATACTTTATTACCATTTAACAAAGACAACGGACTATGGAGTAATTACTAATCCTACATCATAGTCTTCTCTTGGATTTGTTTATTGAATACTATGTAAAACTGCTTAATATTAATCACCAGACATCATAACCTCGCCTGGTCGGTGGTTCCTAATTCTGTATGCTACAAGCACGGAATGGCCGCTACACGTCACACAAAGTAAATAAAACAAAAGTTAAAAATCTATAAAGTTTTTAATTGATAATCAACAACCTACTTTACTACTAATAAATCGTATTCATTGTAACAATTTATTGTATTGTAGACTATTGTTTAGCACTTAAATATAAGCTTCAAAGTATGTAGTTTTAAACACTATATTATTTACCATACTTATGACGGATATGCAAGGCGATATGGAGTTTAACTCCTGCAAAATTTAAGTTGCAAAAAATATTTACAGCCCATTGTACATTCACTACCGACAAAACTTTATAATATTGCCCGAAATAAATATCTGAATGTCATCAATTCATAAATGAGCAACTCATTAATAAAATCTACCGATGTAATAGTTTTTTTTTTGTGTGGCAACATTGTATTACCTAAGTACTTAACAATTATATATATGTATATGTAAGGCACAATAGGAATGAGCGACAAAATTGCCATTATTATAAAAAATTCTTCGAACACTGATGTCATTATTCTCCTCAATTTTATACCATTGGTCATTCAATGCCATTTTTTTTACTATCACTACTCTCCTGTCACAAATCATAGTTGAAATAGTTGTGTCTTCGTTCTAAATCTCTAATTTCTACTATGTCAGCCTTCAACCTTAATTTCAGTATCTCTCGCCAAATTGCCTCTCTGTGTTCTTTATTCATTATTCCCATTCGGAGCAGCGTATTGTCATTTATACGGACTAAAGTCCTACCTGTTATGTCATGCTGTAAGAGAAAATTTGCATTAAAGTTAAATGAAATTAAGAAACAAATGACTAACTTACAGTAATATAAACCTATATTGTTTAATAAAACTGACAGTATTAGTCACTTATTTGATCAATTAAGTTTATTAATTGCTTTTAGCAGACAGTATAATTTTATGTTTTTAATTATTCTACCACATTCACACAACGCCATCTAGTCCCAAACTAAGCAGAACTTGTACTATGGGTATGAGACAACTGATATAAATATATACATTATACATACTATTCTTTTTTCATAAATACATGCATATTATCGTTAGAAAACACAGAAACTCCGAAACAAATATTTGTAGATCATACAAACATTTTGTCTGGCCAGGGAATCAACCCGAGACCTCAGCACAGCAGTCACATATGCCACCACTGCACCACCATAATACACTGTTCATGCATGTTTAGTAGCATCCATTTTATCATAAACTTCAAATATATTAGACATATTTATTACACATTTTAGCTCCCTGTATTTCTTATTGTTTAAGTATTTCATATGTAGGATACCTTCTAAAAAATGATCTTAAAAATGGTACAAAGAATTATGGCCTATGCAATCATATATACATTACCTCATGAAACCTCTCCCAGTACATATTATAATAATCGCTGCAATGTCGTCGCAACCACTTTTGTACATCAGCTTCTGTCCACAAGTTTAAGGCCTTGGGACGTGTTGTTTTAGCCTAAAGCAGTAAAAAAAACATTTTCTTATTTATTACTTATTTTTGACATTGTGATCAACAGACTAACAGTAGAACATTTTTTATCTACATTAAATTGAATTACTCTTATGACGTTTTACCTTTGTAGATTTGTTGGAGTTCAAACTTGAGTCTTCTACCATTGTCATTTGTTCAAAATTACAAGTTAATGTTAATAAACTTGTACTAACTATTTACGAACTGAATGAGCGACTTAATTTTGTTGTTTAATAAATTAATAAACCACAAAGTTTTTGTTCAAAAGTAATATAAACTCTGCCTGTCTACTGTCAGTGCTGTGTTTTACATTTTCTTTTTGACAGTTCGATTAGGAGTAAATGTGGTTTGATGGCAATTAGTGATGTACAAATATTCGACGAGTCGATTAAAAACAACAAACTCTTCATTAACGAAATGATATAAAAAGAAGTTATAAGTTTTATAAGAGCACTGAATCATACCAACACAGCATACTACGAGTCATGATGAATGTAAGGTTTAATTAAAGTAAAGTTAAATAATATGCTGTGTATCATATTTAATTTTTTCGGTACCCTACAATTAACTAATTTTCAACATCTATTGTTTTTTTAAAGCAATAACTACAAAATTGCATTCTTCATAATAGAATTCATAGAATTTAGAAATAGTTATATCAATTTATAACACATCACACATTTATTTATTAATTATGTACTATTCAACACAATACATAGAATAGTACTTAATAGTATAAAAAAATGAAAATAGATTATTATTAAGTATAGATTTTAAGGATATATTAAACAAAGTAATACACCAGCGTTCTTAAGCTAAAAATGATAAGATGAACAAAAGGCATAAGGATATTGACTGGTAACGCCTTAATGGCGCTATTACGTCGAAGACTAGAGTTATCAACTTCATCACGAACACTCCTCGGTAGGTACACGTACTTATTTGAGACATAATAAATAATTTACTTTTTAAGTAAAAACATAAAATATTGTGGACTGGAAGAATGGACAGAAAATTATAATAAGAGTGCGCAAGGGGGGGGGGGGGGACCTACACTCTATAAGCTTGATGACATGAGACAGTAAAAGGAGAAAATAAAAACTTTGTGTTCAATGGCATTCTTTCAACCAAAAAATGTCCTAATAATTTGATTCTATGCCAGTAAGTAGAAAATATACAGTTTGGGTCTTTATTTTGATGGATGTGCCTCATAGTCTCATATTTCCAACGCTTATTTCGACGCCTGTCTATTTAATGGCCAATTTTAATGGTAGCATTTTCTTCCTAGAACTTTAATCATAACACCTATCATGTTTCACAGATTTCGTCTCTAAAATTATGAATGTCATGTGGTATGGTATTCATTATTAATCTTTACCGAAACTAAATAGCTTGTCCCCAGCAGTTTCAACTTTGTACTGAAAAAAGATTTTCTGTTAGAAAACCTGAACCATATGATAAAATGTCTATTAATGTCTTAATAAACAATTATGTAACCAAGATATTTATGTTTGAATTATTTTAAAACTTTTGTTTATTTTGACGATTGTTGCTCGTTAAATGTTATATAATAAGAATTAAATACAAAAACCCACTTAACAATCATTTTAAATAAAATAGGATTTTCATGGGACTTTTTTGAGTTAAGAAATCGTTGAATTTATGTTGATAAAATCTTTAACTCAAATTAAATAATCATAAATAAGATTTCAATAAATAGTTTAATACAACTTATTAAAAAAACCTACATTTTTCACTACATTTTATATTTTTAGTAATAATAGATAGGTTAATGTAGCAATATTAATAGCCTTCTGTCAGTTGTCAACATTAGTAGAATTTGTTCTCTTGTCACTTAAGCAGAAAAAATAAAACGATTTCATATAAAATTCTAAGCTTCTAAGTCATAAAATGTTGCTATAAAGTTACAGTAATGGCGCAGAATTTACAGAAGAAGCCCTCTAAAGGCATATTAAAGTCGTCGCGGAGTGTAGATGGACATGATGGGACACCGTCTACTAGCAAACGGCCGAAAGAGCAAAGATTCGATGAGATGAATATTATAGAAACGTTTCATCCGCCTAATAAAGATTATGGACATATGAAGGTAGACGAGCCCAAGACTCCTTTTTCGGAGGCAGTGGAAGGTGAGGCTGTAGAGCCTAGTGACGAACTAGACGCGAACATTCTAGCGGCAAAACTCGCCGCTAGTATGAACAAGCCGCCAAAGTGTACGGAAACGTGTGAGAGTAGCGATGAAGACATGGACGAGTCTGAAGAAGCGCGTCGGAAGCGTAAAGAGTTTGAGAAAAAACGGAAAATGCACTATAACGAGTTTCAGGTGAGTGGACTTAAATGCAGTTGTGTTGTGGGTGTGTTCCAATGATTAGATCACCGCCGGTATTATTAGACCGGTTTAAGTTAATGCAACTAATACTATTTAGTCATTTTTCCGATATATGTTGAAGTTATAACTTATTTGGCATTATTCAGGAGTTTGAAATGTCTCTTCATTCATATAATAACTCTGAATGTGTGTGAGTGCTGCACACAAACATACATAGTTTGCGGCAATTTGATTCCCCTAGAGAGTAGTTAACAATTCGTGGGTGAGCTATTTATAAACTGTTTGCTCGTCCTGAATTACTGAATAATCTATTTAAATAATTATTTATTCCACTTACTTAATTCTAAACTTATTTCAGTATTTGATTATCATCATCATTATTTAAACTGATGAAATAAGTTTTGATGATAAATCTGACTTAAACTCACCTTCAAATGGTCTTTTTTTATTCAAAACAGTATTCCCTTGCACTAAGCATTGATAAAAGATTATCCTGAGATGCATCAGATGCTTGTTTTTACACTAAAATTAGTACATATATTAGGATTTTTAACAAAACACTATATTTATAAAACATTTAGGTAATAATAATACTTTGACACATCTCACACACAGCTGTCTGATTTCAAACTAGATTGAGCCTGTGCTATGGTAACAGACTGGTGTGTCGGACTCGGACCGACTAAAACTACACGGTGTGCCACTCTGTGCCTGTAATAGGAGAGATCCAGGAACTGCTATTATTAAGACAACCGGACCCCTCCTAGAGCCGCAAATGCCGGTGGGGTAATGACCGGAGGGGTTTTCCACACAATAAAAAAAAATGGTAACTAGACTGCTGATAAACATACTTATATATTTCTAAATACATACATATTATAGATAAATTACACCAGACACAGGTTAAATAATCATGCTCATCACACAATATTCGTCCGGGGTGTGAATTGAACCCATGACCTCCGGTATTTAGAATACACACAACCCTTTACTGTAAATTACTACAGCTAACGAAACATCACAAGAGTTTTATTTTTATTAAAAACTCGGAACTATTTAAAAAAAATAAATTAAATAATAATTATACTGGTGGCAAGGCCTCTGAGGATGATAATTTTGTACAGCAATTATAGTCTAGAATAGGATATTGGCTACTTTGATTACCAGAAAAATTATAAAATCAACATTAATGTGAGGGAAACCACTGAAATAAACTAGTATGCTATATATAGGTGTGATATTTCAACACATTGCTACTGGTTATGTGAGCATTCATTCTCATTAACATAATTACCTATATATATGTCTTAATGACATATTATGTAAATTATATTGTTTTCAATATGCATTGTATATATTAAATAACTCAGTTGAATTACTTTAATATTATACACAGCCATAAGTCTTAAAATATCAAGTTATTGTAGTCATTTATTAGGACATTGCCTGGGGTGCTAAAGTTATTTATATTTTTTTATATGTATATATCATCATCATCATCAGCCTATTGCAGTCCACTGCTGGACATAGGCCTCTCCCATTGCACGCCACTTAGATCGATATATATATGTTTATAATTTATTTATTTTTTTCAAACCTCTAACACAGAACGCCATCTATTTTCAAACTAAGCAGAGCTTGTACTATGAAAGATAGAATACCTATATATTTCTTTTTTGTAAATACATACATACATATTATATGTAGAAAACACCCAAAATCCGAAACGAATATTTGCAGATCATACAAACATTTGATCCAACCTGGGAATTGAACCAAAGACCTTAGCACAGCAGTCGCATATGCTACCACTGCACCACTGAAAGTTACAGTCCACGCAGTCAAAAGTTCTGGTTTAAACAAGAGTTTAATACTCCCATGTACATTGTATTTCAACTTAAACATGTCAATAAACTGCAATCAAGGTTATTAACTGCATTGATAAGTTTGTCCTTATCATTTTTCTTATCACAAGTCTCAACTGTTCGGAAAAGGGTGGGTCTTAATATTGTCTGCTGACTTGACATGATTTGTGTGTCAGTTTACAGTATTTTAAGCATTCTTTTTTTGGCCTGTTGGTCTAGTGGTTAGTGACCCTGACTGCTAAGCCGGGGGTTGTGGGTTCGATTCCCACTCAGGACAAATATTGTGTGATAAGCACAACAGCAAGCAACATTTGTTCTGTGTCTGGGTGTAATTTATATATAATATATATATTTAGAAGAATATATAAGTATGTTCATCAGCAGTCTGGTTACCATAGTACAGGTTTTGCCTAGTTTGGGATCAGACAGCCGTGTGTGAAATGTGTAACATATTAGATTTTTTTAAAAATAAATTTATAATTTAAATAATTGTTGAGAAAAAATATTGTTGCGTAATGTAATTGCTATGATGTTTTATTCATGTCATTTCAATTAGCTTCAAAGCAATGTTTTCAGAACAAAATAATAACATGTATACTACAAGAAATATATGAGTATGCCATTTCAGCACACATTATTGCGCTGCAAATACAGTCATGCTCATTAGTATGAATAAGCCACTAAACTCATTTACCTGTGCAGACACAGACAAGCCCTCTGTGTTACTATAAATAGCTTAGGGTAAACTAATGTAACCTCTCGACGGAAATAGGTCAAACATTCGACCTGACACCTATTTTAGACGGCATGAATAAATAAGAAGCAAAAATATCTGGAAATAGGGCTTTGGATGACGGGGGAAAAGCGGTGCCAGAGCTGAATGCCAGTAATTCGTTTCACTCAGAAATCAGTGCATAAAACACTTTTCCCTCGACATTCTTGAGAGTGGGCTCGATGGAATCTCTACTATCCTATTGAAGACGGGTGCGTCGGAGTTGGCACCGGTTTTAATGCGCCTTTTTTGACTCCTAGTAAGGTAGCGTTTGTGCACCCGATCCCTGAAAAAGGTGATACACAGGTAACCTTCTTCCTTCTCTAAGATTATTTAATCCGTAATTAACTGCCAGCTCCTCTGGTGCTTAGAAAATTACCAGCTACTTAATGACCGAAAATAAGGTTATTGTCGGTGTCGCTCATCCTGTGATCTTGTCGTTTACCTAACGCACCAGTGGGCACAGACGATCGAGATCAAGAGATAGGTTTGTGTGGTTAGTTTGGACATAGCGACTTCCTTCGATCGGGTCCGACATAAGGTGCTTCTGTCGAAGCTCCCTTCCTATGGGCTTCCCGAGATTTTATGTAACTGGGTCATCAGTTTCTGCCGGCAGGAGCATTAAGGGCGTGCATGCTCCGACTTCAAATCTGTTAATGCTGGTATCCCGCAAGGCGTGTCAATGTTTCTTCTGTATGTAAATGACTCGTTACAAACTACTAGCATCCATTGCTACGCAGATGATGAGTAACGGCCTAACATATATTCTTAAAATATGAATTGCCCTGACTGAATGTTTCATCAACGCAGAGTCTAAACCGCTGGGGTTACAAACTTAAAATTTTGGCATTTTGAATGTTGATTACTAAGAAAGGATTTTTTTAAATTTCACCTAGGGGGTAAAAAAAAGCGATGAGCGGTTGAATGGAGGTTCGTCATTTTCAAAGGTAGAAACACGAAGTAAGAAATAATCACGCTTGCAAAACCGCGGGCAACACCTAGTACAAAATATATTAATCGGCCAGATTTTTCATTCCGCGATGCAGAATTAGTAGTTAATCCGTAGTTCGGTATGCCTTCGGTAGATGGCATTCTAGTATGATTTTCATTGTATGTCGCCACATGTAAATTTCAGTTACTCTGGATACTGATTACTAGTCACTGCCGTTGAATGAAAAAAAACACACCTGTTTTGTTTGTCTGTTAGATCATGCCTAAATGTTCTTATGATTATGACATGTCCCATCACCATTTCAGCCGAATGACTTCCACTGGTAGACATAAGCCTCCCCCAAGGCTCTCCATAACAACTGGTCCTGTACTGCCCGCATCCAACGGCGGCCCGACGACCTTCACCCGGTCGTCGGGCCACCTTGTAGGGGGCCTACCCATTAGAGAACCGGCAATTTCAATTTGACAACTCTCCGGTCAAAATCAGTGACCTTGGTTTGTCTGCGGATCTCCTCATTCTTGATTCGATCACGCAGTGTAACTCCAAGACTCTGAGCATTGCCCTCTCCATTGCTCTTTGGGTTACTTTGAACCTTCTTATAAGGTCCATTAGGAGCGACCACGTCTCTGAGTGGTGACGGATTAAGAATACGGAGTGTCACCACCCCTATTCATCCCGTGGGTGTCGTAAGAGACGACTAAAGGAGCAAACTACGCGGAACAACAGGACTGCAAAGAGAAGGAAAACTTGAAACAAACCCAACACTAACCCGTCGGGCCAGCGTGGTATAATAGGCCAAAACCTCCTTTCTAAGGAAAGGCCTATGTCCAGCAGTGGACTGTTAAAAGTTGTTGATGATGATGATGACGTCTCTGTGCCATGAGTCGGTAATTACTTGACATTTCTAATACTAATTAATTATAATATTTTGGTCAGGCGGTCATTTGAAAACTTTGGCCTGCTCTGTCTAGAAGTCTATTAGGGATTTACGGTAATCACCCGTAAGCCTAGATAAGAAGTGTTAAATATATACTTAATATTCATGATATTACATCGTACAGTGAATTAGATGAGCATGCAAAGTATTAAAAATGAACTGAAGTACCAATTCCATTCAAAGTTTTTTTATTACAGCACGGGAATCGTTATACAGTTCAGTTAGCAGTCAACGTTATCCAGAATACAATTTAATGTTATCTGTCATAGACCACGATTGATGCTATTATATGAGACTATGACTCATAGTGTAAATTTTTATAGCTCGTTAAATAAAATGTTTAATATACTCTAGGTCCTGTCATTAAGGTTTAGTTTTGCGTGCTGTGTATAGATACTTTCGATTTTCTATGTTGTAATATCTATAAATGGATGTATCATTATCTTGACTAACATATAGATTATGGAAACTAAAACGAATACTAATGTATAGATAATGTTAGATATCAAAGCCAAACAGTTTGTTTTTTTATTCCACAGAGGTAAACGGCTTTTTGGTCGGATTAAAAAAAATTAAGTACTTTTATGTTTAACATCACGTTGCGACCTTTGTAAAGCTAACTGGTGGTTAAATGCGGGTATTGTTAAGAAATAAGTTAAATGTTAATGAATGGTATGTCAAGAATGATACTCGTAGTCGAAATATACGCTCTCGTGCTTTCTTAAAAGCTAAATTCTAATTGGATAACTTGAAAAATATATAAAACTAGCTGAGACCCGCGGTGTTACCCGCGTTTGTTGTTATAACCGCGGGCAACGCCGCGGGGCGAAGCTAGTCTAAAAAAAGTAGCCTAAGTTACTCCTTATGTCATCAGCTATCTGCCAGTGAAAGTCCCGTCGAAATCGGTCCAGCAGTTCCAGAGATTACCCGGAACAATCAGACAGACAAACAGACAGACAAAAATTTTAAAAAATATTATTTTGGCATATGTACCGTGTAAACATACATATGCATTTAGTAAAAAGCGGTTATATTAATATTACAAACAGACACTCCAATTTTATTTATTTGTACAGATAATTGAACTTATATCGAACCAAACCATATCATCATATAGACCTCATTCAAAAATATTATATTGTTATCTATACAAATAAAATTGGAGTGTCTGTTTGTAATATTAAAATAACCGCTTTTTACTAAATGCATATGTATGTTTACACGGTACATATGCCAAAATATCATTTTTTTCAATTTTTGTCTGTCTGTCTGTTTGTTCCGGGTAATCTCTGGAACGGCTGGACCGATTTCGGCGAGACTTTCACTGGCAGATAGCTGATGACATAAGGAGTAACTTAGGCTATTTTTTTAGACTAGCTTCGAACCGCGGGCAAACGCGGGTAACACCGCGGGTCTCAGCTAGTCTATATCTATAAAAGAAGAACCTGACAGACTGATCTTTCAACCCACAGTTGCAACCGCTGGGTATAGAATCATGAAATAATGCACAAATGTTGCTTAGGTGACGTACGTGTGCACTAAGAAAGGATGTCTTTTTTTTTTTGACGACTCGATGGCGTAGTGCTTTGTGTAACGGACTGCTATTCCAAAGGTCGCGGGTTCGATTCCCGCTCAAGTCAAACATTTGTGTGCATGAACATTTTGATGTTTGATTTAGTCTGGGTGTTTCTATGTATAATATGTATGTATTTACAAGAAAAAGTATCATCATCTGCCTACCCTTTTCCCAATTTTATTTGGGGTCGGCGCAGTATGTATGATTTTTCCATTCTACTCTGTCATGCGTCATCTCACTGTTTACTCCCTTCCTAGCCATATCCTCCCTGACGCAGTCCATCCACCTCTTCTTCGGTCTGCCTCTTCTCTTGTACCCTTTACAAAAAAAAGTATATATGTATTTATATCAGTTGTCTAGTACCCATAGTACAAGCTCTGCTTAGTTTGGGACTAGATGGCGTTGTGTGTATGTGGTAGAATATATTATTATTATTTTTAAATATTCCACCTCTAAGGTTGCAAAATAGGGGTTGAATTTTTTTATGAAACTTCGTTAATTTTAGGTAGTAGCGTATCCTCTACGATGTCTGATGTCGACATCACGCTGACGAAGTCGTTGACAAAAGCTAGTAACTTAGAAAAGACAATGTTTAAAGTACTCCTTTTACATGCAGAAACATTTAATTTTTTTAAATAATTAAATTGAATACTTCAAATTTATTATTGTGTTATTTAATTATTTAATTAACAACCAATAAAGTGCAGTCTTAAACACCACTGAGATAAATTTATTGAAAGTTAATATATGAAAAAACTGGTAGCACAGAAAATATATGGAGCTTATTTCGTTTAATACATATATAATTATATCTACTTGACTTTCTTTAATGAAGAAGAACAAGAAAGAGCTGGCATAGATTCACTTATAATCTTAATCTTTTTTTACTAATCGGAAAGACGTGACCAAGCTTTGCGTGGTTTGTTGGTGCAAACTTGGTCACGTCTTCCCGAACGATGGCATCGTTGATTTAGTATTTCCACTATAAGTGAGCCTTTTTTTTCTTTTTTCCGTGCGGAAATCCCCTCGGATACCACCTGTCGGTGGCATGTCGGACTCGAACCGACTAAAACCGCACGCCGTCTCGGGTACTAATAGCCGGGGAACCAGGTATACCCTAGAAACTATAAGTGAGCCTGGCCTGGTCATCGGTAACAGATTATGACTAGTCTACGCAGCTCACCTAATTGTTTGCCAACCTAGTTGTGTAGCGTACCAATCACCATCAGGTTACTCGTCTGCTCGTTTGCCCCCTATTACATGAAAATAAACGGAGTCGAGAAGACCACAGACGAAACTCGACTGAAAGGAGTTGTCCAAGAACTATTATTCAACATTACTCTTAATACAATTGATTTAATTAGTTGAATGAAAAGTTCTGAAGAGATTTAGTTGCCCAACGTTTATGGAATCACCCATATATCAGTTTAATTTAAGCCATAATGGATTTTATTCCGAATAAAAAATAATCGTCCTTTGAAAAAGACGTCTCCTTTGCGTGAATACATTTTTTAAGTTTGTAATAGGGTGATTAATTTTTTTATTAAATAGTTATCATGTAATGAAGTATGACATAAGACTTACTATATTCGATACTGTTTCTAAAATATATATTTTTTAAATTGTTGAAGCAAGTTGAAAATTCAGTGATTTGGCAATAATTAGGTATGAAGCCGTAACACATTACTTTATATAATTTTTAATAAGAATTTTTATTCTTGTAAATACGTTTGCTTAGACCTGATGACATTAGCAAATGTTCTGTAACTATTTCAGGTAACTATATACTTATACTATTTATGTTCTGTAATTCTTTGCTGAAAAAATAAACTGTTTTAATATGTATCCTTTTGTGACGTGAGCAGTTCTATCGTTCTGCAAATACATCCGTGAATATTAGAGTCTGAGGGGTAGGCAAAGTAACGTACTTACACTACGTAGACTATATATATATATATATATATATATATATATATATATATATATATATATAGAATAAACTATATACTAGACTAACTATATATATACTAAACTAGTTAACAGCCTTTAATAGTCCACTGCTGGACATAGGCCTCTACTTAGAAAGGAGGTTTTGGCCTACTATACCACGCTCTCCAGGCAGGTTAGTATATGGTTTGTTTCAAGTTTTCCTTCTCTTGCAGTGCTGTTGTCCTGCGTAGTTGGCTCCCTTAATCAGCTCTTACGACACCCACGGGATGAACTAAACTAAGTTGAATACTTTCAGTTGTGTCCATATGCAATTAAAGGAAATACGAAAATAAAATTCGCGTTACTTTCAGGCTCTGCAACTTGCGCGCCAACTCATGGCTCAAGACGAGGAGGAAGAAGAGGAAGCTGAGAAGAAGACCACCTGACTGGCACACCCGCTGGCATTCGTACATAACTCGCACAGAGGCTTCAGGAGAACATCGACCAACACGTAACTACTCGACGAGAGCCACTTGAGGGTTGACAATTTATTCAGGGTTTCATCCAGTTTTGTGCGTGTCTTATATGAGTGGAACTGGATAGTGCATGTGTTATTAGAAATTTTGAGTCGTTGACTATTTTTTATAAGCCAAGCTAACAGTTTGAAGCTTAATCTGGTTTTGTATTACAGATATAAGATAATATATTGTTTCTTTTTTTTTAATTTACGAGATTATATCTAACTAGATCCAATGCATCTTTTAATATTTCTTAAAATCACGAAATACACAAAAAAGTGTATCCAAGTAGGGTTGCCAAATTTAAAATTTTAATGCTTAGCAGCCAAAAATTTATCTTCCTTTTTGCCAAAACCATCGTTTGTATATGGTAACTAAAATGTACAGTCAGGTACAGATAATAATAAATCTAATTCATCATTCTTTTTTAACTGTGCAAACGTATATTTTAAATATAAATCTGTTCTTCCAAGGCAAACGAAACATAATTGATTTAGTATGTAAAAAAAACATACGAAAATTGCAAACTGAAGAACGACTGAGTTACATACTTAAAGTCATTTATCTTTTAATTTTACAGTTTGTAAAACTAAATTAGGCAAATTATAATCAAATCTAAATATCCAGGGAGTAAATAATGTACATGTTGTTTTCGGCTTTATGAAACACTGGATGTGTTAAATTATTATCAAGGTAGTTTCAAATGCAACATTTTAATAACACGCTAAATACTGTAGCGTGATTTTATCATTTATTGTCTTATATGTTATGTAAAAGTAAGTATGACGTTTGTTTTTCGTTTTGGCTGCAGGCTACAGTTTTAATCTGAATTTATGGGCAAACACAGCTTAACTACTGAACTGGATGGAATCTTTGAACTTGTGAAGAAATCAACATCAAGAATTTATGGTACTTTGTTCCCACAAGATCATGGAGAGTTGTTGCTTGTAGATTATAAAACAAAACTATTTTTATTTTTTATTCGTATGATTTGAGAATGATGTGCCTATGTTAACTCAAACAAAAATAGGAATGATTGTTTTTAAGTTCTCGTGCATTTGACTGAATATACGATGTATGAATCAAGAATTAATCGCGGTCAAGTATCGTATACGATACTTTTGCATTCGGTTGAATTGCAACTATCTTGTCACGGATTATCGATTTTTACATTATGAATGACATAGATAATTGATTTTTTCAATACTATTCAGGTATGAGAAGTAAACACGTAATTTTATAAATTATTTTTAAATCTAAGCCGAGTAGATAACAAAATAGTTTTTAGATCGTAAAAATAAAGCTTTTGCCATCTACTATCCAAAGGATAGTGAAATAGATGGATGAGATAGCAGTTGCACAGAAAAGTTAAGCTTGAAGTCGTTACGTTACGTATTTACACGTTACGTTACGTTACGTTAGGTATTTACAGAATTGTATAACTTTAAACAATTGGCTCTTACATTTTATTAAGATATATTTAAATTTAGTATAGAACAGAGTTCATATTGTATAGTACATATAAATTTATTAAAATCCTCGCGTGTTCATAAGATATTTATCTTTAAATGATAATACTTAAAATAAACAAATATATATGTAAAAGTATCTTAATTAAATAAAAAAAATAGATATTGCATTGTTCACTGTCACAACTTTCATATAATTGTTATAAATAAAAATCTTATAATGTACAGTTAATTACAAAAATCGCCGTCTATACACAATTTTGGAAAATTATTAAACCGATTATATTATTTAAATATGGGATAAACTAACCATGTTTTAAGAAACGGCATACAATTTAATCCATGTTTGACATATTCGTTCTTGACTGTACATTACATATTGAGATTTTTATTTTAATAAACATTTTTCAAATGTTTACTAATACTAATACCTAATACTAATAATACTAGTATCTAATACTTTTCGGCTTGTATATGTATATGAAATTAACGCAATCACGTACCAGGTATTGCATACCTTTGAACTTTCCGAAATATTAGGCCATTTATATAAACTACAATGTTTATAACTATATATATATAACAATACATAATTAATATATATCTCACTTTTCGACTTGCAAAGAAAGCCATTATCATCAGCCTATCGCAGTCCACTGCTGGACATAGGCCTCTCCCATTGCACGCCACTTAGATCGATTTTGGGCTTCTCGCATCCAGCTCCTGCCAGCCATTAGAAAGCCATTATATGTGCCAAGAATTTTATATTTTTCACACTTGTGACTTTTGAGTGTCCATGGGCGGCGGTAGTTGCTTAACATCAGGTGACCCGTCTGCTCGTTTGCCCCCTTATACCATTAAAAAAAACTTAGCTGTGTGTATTTCAGAAGCTGTAAACAAAGTTACATGACATTGATTTACATGGTCGCCATATTTATATACTGAGTTTTTAAGAACCCCTTTTTTTAGTTCGAAGAAAATGTTCTCGAGGCCATTACCACTTTAAAGTGCTAAAATACCAGAACCTCTAAATAGATATGATTGTATTTTTTTTTTCTCAAATTAAATTAAAAAATGATTCATGTCATTAAAATGTGTTACTAATATTGTAAAGAAAATAATAAGCTGATATTAAAGCTTAGCTGAATCAAAATATCGGTAAGTAATATAAGTATCTGTTAAATATTAAAACAGTTAATTACACATAATTGTATAAAAACCAAGGCATGACGTCACGCCTTGCGTTGCTTGCCTTGTTGTCAAAACATCCATTTTGAATATAAATTTGACCAGTATAAAAAGAACTAAAAACATTGAAATAAAAGGACTATAATTTTGGAAATTTTTGTGATTATTTATATTTATTATATAACAATTTGTCATAAATAGTCCATCGGCATTAAGTCCGCCATTGTACAATGGCGGACTTAATGCCCTAGTGCAGAATTATTGACGAGGTGCATCAGATGTAAGTCGATAAAAATATAATTATATTTCAATGCTCGATTTGGCAAAATAGTTTATTATGAGCAAACTTCTAAAATTTAAAAAGGAAGAATTAATTTAATTTAAGAAGTTATAGAAAGGATTTAAAGCATATATAAATATACCTGGAAACCTGGCTCACATGCGACAAAGAGCCACAAACTTAATCAAGCGAAGTTTATTCCCGTAGCTTTCAAATTAAATATACCTAAGTATAATTTTATATAGGCTTTTTAAAAGGATATTTGCGAAGATAAAGTCGAACACGATATTAGAATTAAATGATAATATTGTAAAACATTATCTACCTGGCGATAATGTCGAACATTAGAAATAAATAACTGTAGTATGTAAATTGCATACTGCCGCAGATTACTGTCAACCATTATAGCAATAATATAATGTATTTAAAAATACGATTATCTAAATTAACGCGATCACGTAATATGTGAAACATACCTATGAATTGCCAGATGTTCCGACCAGGTTGTTCCTGACAATTCAAAAATACTTACAATTAGTTGTAATTGAAATAAATGATTTTGGTTGCACTGACCGTGGTCCCAAGTTGACCACAGCCAGGGCACCTAGGTCGAAACTGGCCGCAATTAAAGTACAATCTGGTTGAAACCTGGCGTTAATTCCCAAGCGTATATCTACATAATTATATGTATATTATGTATCGCGAAAGTTTCAAAGTATGTATTTTAATATTTTAATAAAACTAGTCTTATAGACTTGTATTAACTACACGCAACAGTGCAGTTTTTATAGTTGTGAGTTTTATAGGGCGTAAGTTATTGCAATTGATAGAATTATAATTCTATAAGATAGATTAGTGCTCTTAGTGACGTGATATAGTCTATATATTTGTGTAAAAATTAAAGAATGTATGTAACACGACTCGGCTTCCCTTTATTTAAGCGTATAAAACCGGGTAAAGTATTGTTGCTTTCGTATTTTTACGGTTATTTTTACGAGGAAGTAGTAATAATAATAATTATCCTCTTAATTGTACGCCAAATATAACACAAAGAGAAGTAAAACGCAGTTCTCGGTAGCTCGAAGAAAAGAAGCACCACACCTCTCCCGGTCCCGGTTCTAGTCCGAGTCCGAGTAATCACGAGTGCGTTACCAGAAAAAAAGTTGTTCTTTCTGAGGGCCGAACTCCGTTCGGAGTTGCGATTGGTGAAGAGTTCAGCGGCCAATCGCAACGCAACGGTCACCGTGACGATCAAGTAGAAGTGAAATAAACTCACAGTTCCCGCTGATTATAGAATCATGTGGTTTAATATGTATATTTACGGAAGTGGAAAAAAAATTAGTGTGTATTAAATATACGGAGAGTGTGTATTAAATATATGCTGCATTACGAAATCAAAATACCTTTAGTAAAATATGCGTAATTATGACAACGATTCTTCTTAATAGACTAAATACAGTGGCACTTTTCCTTGTTTATATTATTCCGTAATAATATTAAAGGAAAATTGTTTATTGAGCGTTCGATGTCTGATAATAGTGACCATTTTGCACAAATATACAGACTAAATCTATATTAGAGATTAAAATAAATCTAAAAATAGACGCTTTGTTGAAATTTAAATTACAGGGCTTGAGTAGGAGAAAAAAAGAGTTAAAATATATATATTTTTGATGTTTGACTTGAGTATTTATAGTTAACGTAGTCAAGAGAGTGAAAGGAGTAACGCACCTATTTTCCGTCAAACACGTTGTAATGTGAATTTATTTCCATAATAGATGATCAACTCTTGTCTTGTACCCATGGGCGTACACAGTTTTAGGAGCAAACATTTATTATCTGCTCGTGGAGAGGAGGTAGGGGAATTTGTTTTGCATTATACTCCGGAAAGGGGAGGCTAACCAAAATGAGACCCAAATTACTTGACTAAACTTAATATTACATTTGTCAGCGTACCGAAGTCTAGAGGCTTGAAGCAAAACAACCTCCCTCCCCCTCACAATTACGCCAATGCGTATACCTAGACTGTTGTATAAAATTTGAGCGGTTTTTTACAATGCGAGACAATTATTCCTCTCAGTTATAGTAATGCATAAGGTTTTTTGTTTAGCAGCCTTATTGTATTAAAGATAGAGGTTAAAAAAAACTCGCTTCTCAGCGCCTTATACCTACGTCAAAACTATGCAGAGAACACCAGCTTGTCTGTTGTGAAGTTGCGTAGTTCGTACGAAAGTGATGTGTAAAGAGTATTTTGTGTATCCGTTTTTAAGCAAATTTCGCACACGGAGGAATGTGAAGTTCGGAATCCTAATTTACCAATTTATCATCACTTATTTTTAATCAGTGTGTTAAAACACAGCTTTATTGTATAAGTATATTAACCTTTCGTGGATGGAAATGCATAGGTGGGATGATTTATGTTACATTTATCAATGTATTAAAATAAAACATTGTAAGTATCGAGTCGAACTTTTACTACCTGGCAGATCTATAGTGGTGATCAATATTGAACTTTAATATTTTGTTGCGAGTGTTGCTTTTATTTTATTAACCCGATTATTTTATTTATTTTTAAACGCAAATGTGGGAATCACTTCTTCTGAAGTCTTAAGTGAGCTGGATGACGTTGCAAAGGTACAATGGCAAGCAGTGAAGCAAAAAATGCAGTTGATTTTTGTTATTGTCATGTTCATTGTGAATTGTTTATAAAACTAACTACCACGGCATTCGGATAATCGAAAATCAAGATATATGTATAAAGTTAAAAGAGTTAAAATAAGTTCTAACATGTCTGTGCATGCATGAATTCGATTTGAAGATATAAAGTTATTTAATCGCTGTTGGAAGTGCCGATTATCACGAATCTATTACGAGTATAACCGAGGGCGGGATAATTGAGTTTCCATCGCACTTAACTTTTATTTGGAACGTCTGGATGGCTTTTGTTTTGTGTTTTGTAATTTTATTATCCATTTAATGTAGTATTTTTTTTGTCTTTCTAATGACATTACAATAGCTTTTTGAAGTAAGTAATGTTTGCAACACTGTTTAATTTTCGGTTTTGCATTTTTTATCATTATAATACTTATAATAACCGCCGTGCTGAATAAAATATTCATACAAATTTATTAGCAGTTTCAAAAGGATTCTCTTAAGGTTCCTTTTTATTTTTGTATCATATTTCAGTAAGGTCTAAGTCAATCAACGATACGGCGACGTGGCGTGAGTGGGCTGTAATGTATCAAATAATAAAGTTTTCATACAGAGTTACGCGCTCAGCCGTGGTAGTACATCTCAACCGTTTACGACAACTCGCCGTCCCTCACCGCCCGCTGTCTGTCCCAACCTTACATTGGCTTAGCAATTTAGACGGGGAAATGTGTATGTAAACAGACAGGGCTACTCTGCTATTTATAATACCTAATAGTATTTACCAAACATAGTTATATTAATTTAACTAATATTGGATTAAAGTACGTAAATTAAGTTATGGATATTGGTTAGTCTTCCTGAACAGAGGGCGTAGGGCGGGTTTATTTCATGTTAACTCACTGTCACTAGACGGCGAGTGTGCTTGGCGTTGCGATTGGTTAAGATTTCACAATCCAGTCAATGTGAAATAAACTCACACAAGTACCTCTGGGCTTTAAGTTAGTGAAACGTGGATATCAATGTTGATTTCTAGTTGAAGAACAAGTGTTATAAAGTTATGGCCTTCTACCAATGCCGGCTTCTACTCCATTTATGTTGGTAATGAACCTAATATTTGTCACCTATTTGATTTTCTTAAAATCTTAGATAACTTTTTATTACGTAGGTACCATCAATTCTGTTAGCTAGCTTGTATTTTTGTGAGTATTACTTAATACTCAAACGGAACAAAAAGTATTTCTTTGTCAGTAGGTAATTATGTTAATTTTGTAAGCAAAATTTTTGTGTAATCATCGCTCTGCTTTCTGTCACCTCGGTCGTCTCGACGCCATCTTTTTATCGTTACAAAGTATTTTACTTGTGTATATGATGGGATTATTTGTGCGTGTTGACTATTATTAACAATGTTAAGAGAAGCAATACGGATACGGTATCATTAATTCACATACCATGCATTGGCCTTACTCGAAATTAAGTTGTTGCATTTTATATAGAAATTGTACAGAACGGCTTTTCCTAAACGTATGTGTAAATAGTTAATAAAGATATTATAATAAACAAATGTTTTATTAATACTTTTTTTAATGGTTCTACGTCACAAAAGAGCAATCAACACCATCGAAACCCATATGTTATACAATGTTATGCCGTGCAGCGAAAAACTAGAGTGCTTAGTCTTAAAACAGTAGTCAAGGGCAGATGCTCGTGAATGCAGGGGCTCGTGACTCAGTGATAACTCCTGAATAGGTTAACACATTGCCAAGTTAAGCAATCCTAGCCCGGTCAGTCTATGGATGGGTGACCATACTTAACTCCGGGATACTCCTCCATACCTCGGACAGCACTTTAAGACGTCGTTCCCGGTTGCTGTACGAACATCTACAATAAACTTCGTCGTCGTTTCGAAAGTGGAAGAAGTTCAGAAGATTGCAAGTGTGTGCAACTCAATGGCATTTGGCAAGGATTAAGTTTTAATTCAGAAGGAAGGGGAAGTCATTTTCGTCTAGTCAAGACTCAGGCCAAGCTCCAATCTCATTGCTTACTTGAAATCATGAACAATAATGAAAATCATCATCAATTTTTTTTACAATGCAATTATCGATCCACCTACAATTCATTATATAGTTTATAGGATGACAGAGAACTCGACATCAAGTCGGAATCGAGTGATAGGTCAAGTCAACTTTTAAAGCTTTTTAAAGTTACTTCAGTTACATGCCAAACTCATGTAGTACTTTTTTTTTCAGTAGAGATGCATGGTGTTCAAAAGGGGGATCCTCCAACGCTAGCGCAGCTGGCACCCCCCTGGGTAGACTATTGTTCAACAACGCTATTATAAGAGGGTGTTGTGGGGTTGGGCCCCGGAAACCTCACTCAGTCGGTGAAATGCAACTGGGAAGTGCTTTACGATCGGTTTTCTGTGAGGCCGTGTTATCGCACCGGTCGAGCCGGCCCGTTTTTGCCGAAGCATGGCGTTCCCACGGTAGGGTTTTGGCCTTCTATACCACCATGGCCAGACGGGTTGGCATAGAGTTTGTTTCAAGTCCCACGGGATGAATAGGGGTGGTTACACCTCGTATTCTTAATTTGTCCCAAAAGGGACAGAATATTTAAAAAACTGCATACCTTAACTGCTCAAATTTAGAACTAACTAAGTAGGTACTTAGATTATATAACAATTTCTTAGCTTTGCATAGCACAGTGCACAGAACACTAAGGCATCATAGAAACGAATAAGAAGGAAACTTAGCTCATCACCGCGACCGAAGCCACCTGCATACAAAATTTCATAAAAATCGTTGGAGCCGTTTCCGAGATTCGAATTATATATATATAATTATAGATAGATACCGCCAGAAATACAAATGTACTCTGTGGATACCGCTTATGCTTGGAGTTTCGTGTTACGGTTATGGCCTACAATTTGCAAAAACATAAAATATTTTTTTTAGTCTTTCTATTTACAAGAAATAAACTTAAAATGTGTTGTATAAAATTAAAGTGATTAGAGTTATTAAAGATGTACGTGTTTTGTTAAGTTTTTAAACATTTTGCTTTGGTTTACAACGAACGAAACGCAACTGTTTTAATGGCGTTTGTATTTTGTTTGAACGGCTATAACGTCGTCTTGACAACGAAAATAGTGGCATTTGCGTGAAGTATTCTATTGCTTTTAATATGTATTTGATAAATTATGGATGATCCCCACAACTCGTCACCGCAAACGTCTGAAATAAAGGTCAGTAATTTAATATAATTGATTTATAGTGGAGAAATCAATCGCGACACCAGATATTTATAATAAGTTAAAAATAGTTTTTGAGAAACATAACTGCACCGCATTACCTGCCTTCGTAACAATTTAAACTTTAACTGGTACATATAATTATAGGCATTTCATATAGAAATCCTTGAAAAAATATTTTTACAGTCCAAGTAAGGATGCACAATTTCAAGTCGTTTATTTATATTTTTTATTTATTTTTAGAACATTCTTCCGGATGTCGTGCATTCTCAACAGATAGCTACTGTAGGAAATATTACACATGAACTAGACTCAACTTTACCAGGCAGCGGAAACACTGAAGAACACTGCGGTTCACATGATGACGATGATAGTAAGACTGAATCTATATCGGAACATATTCCCTCCAAAATTGAGTATTCTACAGACTCAGACAATGCTACAAATACGCAGGGCTTTCCTAAGTTTGAGCAAGAGCAGGAGAAAGTATTTAAAAACAGTTCGCTGACCATTCCTCGTCCAGATTCTCCTGCCAGTGGTAACAGCACACATGATGAAAGCAGAGGCAGCCTGTCCTTGCCTTTAGATGTTAATGCTGTTTCCGATATACAATTATTAAGTGAAGAGAGCCCAGTCAATTTAGCAATATTGTCAGACTTATCAAAAGAGCTTGAACAATCACATTTATCTGTTGGGAACATTAATCTTAATGAGAGTGATGTAGAAGAGCTGTCTCCTAAAAGTAATAATTACCAGGAATCATTAAATGAAGAATCTAGCAAATCGTTAAATGAGCTACATAATCCCAGTGATTTTTCAGAGAAATCAAACTCTCCAGATAAACCTAGTTCTGGATCTGAAGAAATTATAAAGCTGGATATAAGAGGTCAAGCTGCTCCAAAGTTTCCGTTTGCTGCAGCTAAAATAATCTTCGGACCGCCTCCAGAAGGTGCCACTATTATTGAGCCAAATGTTGAACAAATACCAGTCTTCCCAAATTTGTTATCACCGTTTCTTGTTGGTGCTGGAGATAGTGTGCAAGTAGAAGAAGTGTTTGATGACCAGGAGCAGAGGAAAGAACCAACTCCAGAATCCTTGCAAATGTCACCAGATAAGCTGAGTGAATCAAGTGAAAAGTTATTACAGTTATTATCTGACGAACAAAGTTATTCAAATGAGAAAGTTGAAGCTGACTTGTTGGTAGAAGAAATGACCATTGACGATGAATTAAAGGTGGCAGACGGAGAGAGAGCTGATAATGAATCATTGCCAAAGTCTATGCCTGCAGAAGAGACTATGTCTTTTAGTACATTAACTACAGATTATAAAACAATTTGTGAAGAATATCACGGAAAGGTAGTTGTTATACGCGGTTTTTGTTTGTGTGTGTGCCTTAGCTTGATGTTGATCTGTTTGTTATATCTGCTTGTAACACCCATAGCATGCTATGTACTAACATTCTATAAGACATTATATAAGACGCACTTCCTCAAATTTGAAAGCATTTCCAAATACTGTGTTCAAGTTTGACCATGTTTTATTGTATTATGTGTCAATAAACGGTTTCTTTTACTTTATTGCTTTTAGTATGTAAAATATTAAATGTTTGTTATTGATAATAACAAATAACATAATGCTTTAGTGGTGGCGTTCTAAATGTTTAAATGTTTAACATTATATGTTGATAGTTAAATATTGTTGTAAATCCACTGTCAACAAACAAAGAAGGTTTTAGCACTTTAATGATTTATGAACTTGACATTATTTACTTTGACAACATGTCATTTCTTAATTTTATTTATGTCTAAACTTATTTAATGAAATTTTAAAGTTATTTATTAGTTAGAATTAAAGAATATTGACTGATTAATAAAACCAAATGTCTGTTTCTGAAACAAGAATATTAAGTCACTATGTGTGTGTTTTTCGCCAATAAATTAATGCTAGACTGAAGTTTTTATGTAACTTTGGAATTGTAAATAATTTTACGAATGACACAAATAAATACTCCTAATAAATTGGGGAGATATTCAATACTGCTTATATGCCTTTAAATATATTATTATTTTATATTTATTTTTTGTGCTGTATGCTTTCATGTGGATGTGATGTGAATTCATTGCTTTCTGTCCTTTCAGCTTGTGCATTTGGAAGCTGCTATAACACAGCGTGATGAATTAATCGAAGAACTGACTATCTCATTACAGCGTTCTGTCCGTGAACGAGATGAGCTCAGTTACGAGAACAAACATCTTACAAATGAAATGTGTAACTTACAACACATGGTTGCAGAACATTCACATTCCGATAATGACACCATAAAAGGCCACCTATCTGACTTTGTAAAGTATCAAAGCATGATCAAGGATGACAGTACAAAGTTCTACTCCGCTATCATGAGTGGGGGTTCCTCATTACAAAGTTCAAACGGAGAGAAAGACATGGACAGAGAAGAGATCATTATCAATCATTCCAAATCTGACTTACGTTCTTCCAATGTTTCCGATGAGTTTCAAACTGGCTTTGAAAATAAACTGTCCACGATTATAAATAAGTTTGAAAGTTATCTTGAAGATAATGTGCGGAATAAGCTTAGAGAAAGTTTGATTCAAGTTTTATGCGATGAAATAGGGAAGATGAGGATTGATAGTGCCACTGAAATAAAAGAGTTAGAGAGTCAAATGCAACAGGACAAACAGGTTTATTCTGTAGAGACAAGGCAATTAAGGGAGCTGTTGGCGTCTGTGAAAGCGGGCAATGCTGATATAGATCTCTTAAGGCAGGAGCTTGCCGTGAAACATGAGAAAGAGATGGAGAATTTAAGGACTTACTTTGAAAAAAAATGTTCCGATATGGAAAGAAGGTGTGTTGAGGTTTTTGGTGACTTTATATTGATTTAATAAGCTAATACCTTGTGATTAATGTATTTCTATTTTTGTTTGCAACCAGGCCAAAGGTAAGGTAAGTTGATATTTATATTGATTCATATACACTTTCTGTGTGGTGACGGATTAAGAAATCGGAATGTCGCCACCCCTATTCATCCCGTGGGTGTCGTAAGAGCCGACTAAGGGAGCAAACTCTGCTAAAAGAAGGAAAACTTGAAATAAAAATAAACTAATAAATAGTATTGTCAATTTTGGTTAAAAGCAAGGTCTTACACCACAAATAAAGGAATAATTAAAAAAAAAAAAGTTGAAAATTAAGATAAATTTTGGTTCTTACAAATTTTCGCGAAAATCTATGTAAAATCTGGGTAGGTACGGAACGGGTTTTACCTGAACGGGTTTTTATTACCTTAGAACTCCAAAATTCTTGAACCGATTTGACATTTTTTTTATTTTCGGTTCGATTCATTTTAGGTTCGATTCAAATTTAAATAAAGAATACCAACCCTAAGGGTGTAATTTAATTTATTAAGAATTTCATCATCATCATCAACAGCCTTTGGTAGTCCACTGCTGGACATAAGCCTCTCATTAGAAAGGAGGTTTTGGCCTACTATACCACGCTGGCTATTAAGAATTTAGTTAAAATAATTCATTATGATTATAAGACACATTGAGGCGTTTTCTGATCAAACTAGGGTTGTGAGGACCTAGTATTATATGGTGTTCCACTTGCAGTTACTCCGAGGAAGTGTGGCGCGGCAAGTGCGCTTCCCCGGGCGGCTCGGCCTCGTCTTTAGATGCGGAGGCGTGCGCTGCGGGGGCCGGGGACGCCAGGAGGCGCACGAGGAGTGCTGACTTCCCCTCACTCACACTCGAGGTAATCATAAATATAGTATGACGTAACATCATCTTAATCACCATCATCATGTTAACAAAAATATTTTTTTCATTTCAGTTTTTTTTTTTATAAATTTCATTTACAGTTAAGTTATATATTTTTCAAATGTCTCTAGTCGCCAAAGTGTTTTAACAGTTTGTACATGTTCCGCTCAATTTATAATAAACTTAGTACGTAAATGCAATTTTTTTAACCACCAGTGCGGATAGTCCTATACGTCACAGATTTTATGCGAAAAAAAACGTACAGTGAAATATCGCTCTGCGGACGGGCCGTTAGAAATAGGTTATTTATTATCCAGGACTGAAGAGCTTACAGTTCAGAAGCAGCATCTCATTTTATTCATCATCAGAAAAGGTGGCGGGCAATATAAACCGTTCCCAATAATAACGTAATCTCGTAATATGTATTGCGAAGAAAACTTACGTAATACATATCTTTCAGTCCTCACAGCTGGAGCAAGCTGTGAAGCAAGCCAGCAAGAAGTACGAGCTACAGTTAGATGAACAAAAGGCGGAACACATGGCTTATGTCAACGAGTTGAAAGCTGCACATAGAGATGCTATTGCAGCACTTGAGGAGCAGGTATTTTTAATCTTTATTAATTTTTGTCACGATACAAAAGCCCGCTGAAATTTCATAGAAATTAAACTTTTTTTTAACACATCCTATCGCATCGATGTCAACAATAGTTTTGCCAAGTGTGAGAAACAAGTCCTCTTTTTTTCTTTTTTTTATGTTATAGGGGCAAACGAGCATGGTGGCGCGACGCGCTGTTTGGCGCGTGCGCCCTCTGTCGAGTAGAATGGGAACACCGTGGTTCCCACAAACTAGGGGGTCATCTACAAGCCGTGTATGGCCCGAGATCCGTTAGGTCTTCGGGCACACCTGGTTCCCCGGCTACTGGTACCCGTGACGGCGTGCGGCTTTTTCGTCGGTTCGAGTCCGACATAACCACCGGTAGTTGGTATCCGAGGGGATATCCGCACAGGGGAAAATACGGGGCAAACGAGCAGACATGTTACGTAATGGTAAGGGACTACTACTGGAAAATCGCTTCGGATCTCCTGCTCCTCGGGGACTCAGGCGCCAGGAGTATGTGGTGATTCCACTAAAAACTCCCCAAAGGCCGGCCTTAGGTGCCCTTGGTCACCTGTAGCTCAATATTCAATTTGAGTCCCTCCCGTTGAGTCCCTCCTATGAGTTGGGCTCTCGTAATCTTACTCACTGGGTGAAAACCAACATAAGAAATTTTAAACACCGCTTTTCTGTGAGGCTCTCTGAGTGAGTGAGTGAGTGAGTATCACACCGGTCGGTTGGAGCATGTCACTCTCACATTAGATTCAGTAAACTAATATAATATTGTACCACATTCACACAACGCCATCTAGTCCTAAACTAAGCAGAGCTTGTACTATGGGTACTAGACAACTGAAATATATACTTCTTTTGTTGATACATACATATTATACATAGAAACATCCAGCCCAAATCAAATATTAAATGTACTTGCATAAAACTGACTGACTGCACAGATGGCGCAGTGGTTTAAGTGGTTGCCGCGCCGCTTCCTACTGCGCCGAGTGGTGTGGGTTCAAACCCCACATGGGACGACACTTTGTGTGATCCACAAATTGTTGTTCTGAGTCTGGGTGTTCTTTGTGTCCGTTTCATGTATGTTTGTAAAGTCCCCCGCGACATAGGATATATTCCTAACGCGGGAGTTGTCTTTAAAAAAAAAAATGTTTGACTTGCGCGGGAATCAAACAACACCATTCGGCCGTCAGACTATTTTAACTCATATAAAATCCCAAATATAATACTGTTTGCTTATTTATTTATTTATTTTTGCTATTTGCTACTTTGTCACCTTGGTTATGAAAAATAAAGTCAATTATAAATGTTTTTTTTCCACAGGTAACCCAACTCAAAGCGCACATCCACACTTCAGAGAACACCGAATCGAATGTCTCCCTCTATCAACAGGACATAGACTTGGAGTTAGAAAAGGTTAGAGATATATGTTATATGTGTTAGAAGGAGAATGTCGTGTGCCCATGTTGATGTTGTGATTATCGATGTTTAATAACTTTGTGTTGCTTTTGTATAACTGAAAAAACAGAGGTGACTGCCCTTAATTGAATTAGATACTTTTATAAACACGTTTAAAAATATATTAGCGACTTCAAAGCGCCTAAAAAAATATAAATATTTTTCACCCTTTAATTTTCAACCATTAAGGGTGCAATATTTAAAAAATATATTGTGATCAACTTTTAGTATAATTAATCATAAACTATGAATGAATGAATCCATATACAAATGGCGAACACGTCTTGCAAATAAAAATATTAATTAATAGAGAATCATCTCATTTTTAAATTAGTTAAAAATTGTATTAAGAATATAATTTGTTTGAAATTTTAATTATGTAAGTTATTTCTTATTGAATTTTTGTTTCACACCTAGATTAATTAAAAAAGTGTACTTTTTATAAATATTTGCATGAATAACGTACCTATGATATCAAGTCTTTTTATACACAAGTTTTGCAATGAGCTGGAATTGAACCGGCTACTATTGATTTGAATTAATTTAACACACACAACAAAATTGTTTACAAATCTTGCACATTTTAAAATTATATAAAATGGGCTATATTTTGTGTTCTTTTTACTGCTAGACGACGAGCCAGCACATTTGACGGTAGGTGATCCGCTTATAGGATTGGCAATGAGCTTGCCTTTTATGTATTAAAATTGTGTAAAAAATAGAGACGCTAAGTAAATAGTACCCCAGTTATTTTGCTTCACCACTGGGGTCCTTTGTCAAGTAACGAAACGACCTGTCGTGTTGATATTAACAATATTTTTTAGCAAGTTTAAGACTTGAAGCAAGGTGACCTTGACCCTGACCCCACGGTCTGGGTCAAGGTCAAGCAAATCCCCACGGATTTGCTTCAGGTCGCTACTGTCCTACCAAACTAATTATTTGTTGTGTAACTGCATGCAGGGGAAAGACTCGAGCTTATGGTGGCTTATAGTTACCTATCCTATAACTGTTTCGTCTATGGCTGGGGACAACTTTCTTCTATGGGATTATATAAATGGAGCCCCTGAATTGTATATATTACGGCTTAATATCACCTTTATGTGTAAAGCAAAAATGTCTAATTTTCAATAGCACATTGTAAATATCAGATTGGGTAAGAGGGTGAATATAAATGGATTAAAGTTGTTACAGTATTAACTTGGCTGCATAATATTTATTGAAATATGGACTTTATCGTCTTTTCCAAACCCCAAGAAAGTATTTAAAACTATAAAGTAGATGTAGTGAGTAAACTAGCAAACGAATCACCTGATAGTAAGTGACTCCCGCCTTCCATGGAACCTACAACTCAAGAGTCATAACCCCCTCATTCACCCCCACCCAGAAATAGGGGAGGGTAATTTCGAGCTCTCGTCCGTGTGGTGACGGACTAAGAATGCGGAGTGTCACCACTTCTATTTATCCCGTGGGTGTCGTAAGAGCCGACTGAGGGAGCAAAGTACGCAGGATAACAGCACTGCAAAGAGAAGGAACACTTGAAACAAACCCTATATTTACCCGTCTGGCCAGCGTGGTATACTAAGCCAAAATCTCCTTTCTAAGGAGAGGCCTATGTCCCGAAGTGGACTATTAAAGGCTGTTGATGATGATGATGAATTTCGAACTCTGGTAGCCTCATTAACTCACTCAAAAAGCATCAAAAGAATTTGCTTATCATCGGTTGTCTGTAGGCCCTCGTATCACTTAGGTCGATCTAACCCATTTACGCCAACGTCAAGCGTTTTGCACGTCACTACGCTTGTGGCTAATGTTACATCACTCTCATGTGTGGCGTTGCACATCACTACGAGTAGTGATGTGCAACGCCACACATGGTTGAAAGTATTCCCTTTTAACACCCTCCTCTTTGTAACACAGTATTTCGAAACATACGATGCCGCTTCCGTTGCCCAGATTCTGCCATTATGAAGTTTACAAAACAAACCTAAAAGATGACACAATTCTAAAATGAAATTAAGCCAAATCTGCTGAGACCAGTTTTAATATTATCAATTTATATATACCTAAGTTCGATATTAGTATAGATGCACCACCTCTAAAACCTCAATCTACCATTATTATTCACCCTCACCTATTCAATCACTTATTAAAACTTCTGTCTCTCTCCTGCATGCTTGGAATGCCACTAACACGCTCGTGTGTGAATAAACATGGCGGTGACGTCACGACCACAATATGGCGCCCGTAGAAGATGGAGGCTCAGCTCGAACAGAGACTGGAAGAAGTAAGGGATGAGGTCAGACAGGAGGTCGTCAATCACCTTCAGGAACAGTTGCAGGTATGTGGGGAATACATGTAAGGCATTGTGGGAAATTATTTAAAATAATTAGCTTGTGAAAAATGTAAAACGGATTTCAATATGGCTACATCATGTTGTATTGTAATAAACTGTGTTGTTTATTCCTTAATTTTCACCTTTAGGGTTGGCTTTTCTTCTTTGAATAAATGGGACCTAACGGGAAGTATACCCTTTCAAATAATAAAATAATTTACCTAATCACGTAATCAATAATGAATGATGGAGTTCTGAGATATCAGCAACAAAAAAGAGCCGAATTTAGATCCTCCTCTTTTTTTTTAAAGTCGATTAATAAAATAATCGATATAGAATTTAATCCTCAGGAATCAACCAAAATAATATTACCTTTAGGGCTAGTTTGCTACATCAACTGCATTAAGATTTTATTAACGCGAGCTGGGAACTCTTTCCTTTCTTTTCCTTTAGTTAGAACGTCGCCGCTTTTGGTCAAGGTTCTTTCAAAGCATGGGTAGAATACGTTTTGGGTACCAACTATCTTTTGCTTAACTTTAATATTATTCGATCTTAATTTAGATCCTTGTGACGGTGACAGAGTGTCACACATGTGTGATTACTGACATTGACGCAGCAGAACGTTTTTTAATGAACTGGGAGCCCATTTTCAATGAGTGAAACGTCACGAAATATACAATGAATGACTAAAAAGAACTAAAAGTGACAGTAATCAGGATCCAGTATTTTTTTCACAATGTTTTTAATGTAAATACCCTTCTTCTTTATTCTTAGGTTATTTAATGGTGTGTTTAGTTATTTCTTTTTTCGTCGAGTTCTTAAATAACTAAAGGTCGTTTTTGACTTGATGCTCCTTGTTGGATGTTTTAACAAGGTTCTTCCATTCCAATCTGTCTTCGGCCTGCCGGATAATGGTTGTGATTGGGAGATTTAAAATCAGTTGATTGGTTCAGACCAGTGTTAAAGTGTTCTGCCGCATGATCTTTCTCCCTCATTTATATAATTACGTAGAAATTAATCTAATACATCTCACACACGTGTCAGTGTGGTGACGGAGTAAGAATACGGATTGTCAACACCCCTAGTCATCCCATGGGTGTCGTAAGAGCCGACTAATTGAGTAAACTGTACGACAGCACTGCAAAGAAAAGGAAAACTTAAAACAAACAACACCACCCTGTCTGGCTAGCGTGGTATAGTAGGCCAAAACCTCCTTTCCTATGTCCAGCAGTGGACTATTAAAGGCTGTTGATGTGATCTCACACACGACCGTCTGATCCCAACTAAGCAGAGCATGTATTGTGGTAACCTGACTGCTGATAAATATAGTTACAATGTACATACATGTTTCTAAATGCATACATATTATAGATAAATTATTTGTCCTGGGGAAAAACACAATTAATTGTCCTGGTTCGGAATCAAACCCACGCACAGCGGCTTAGCAGTCAGGATCACTACCCACTTGTCCAACAGTCCAGTATAATTGTAATTACAAGTTACTAAGCTATATTATGAAAGCTCAAAATGATGTGTCGTATTCGTTTTCGTATTTGTACCTATAAATATTTTATGGTACATAAATTACCTAAATGTATGTCGATTCATGATTCACTTAACCTATATTTTTATTCAGCGTTGAGAAGAGACTTCTTAGAAGCAATTTGACCGGTTTATTTTTGTATACACACAGTTTAAAAATATTTTTAAAATATTTTATTTATTTATTTATTTTATTTATTCTTTATTGTACACACTGAAGACATACATATATATAAGTAACAAGGAAATGTCATGTACAAAGGCGAGCTTAACCCAAAACTGAGTTTTCTTCCAGCAAACCTTGAGCGAATAGAGGACAACAGAGAAACGTAAGGGCACAGTCATGCGTACGTAGGAATCAACACAGAAAAGCATAAAAATTAAATAAATACCGACATAAATTAGGATAGCAAAATATATTATACGTTTACAAACATATACATACATATAAATATATATATATATATATATATATATATATATATATACACACATACATACATACATAAATACCAAGGGTCTGATTATTGAAGGGACAGATAATAATCCCTGGTTCTCCTCCTGAACACGCTAGGAGAAGGGCTATTGCGTATTGCACGCGGTAAGGCATTCCATAGTCGAACAGCTGCAACGCTAAAAGAGTTGTCATAACGACTCGAAGTGTGGGAGGGAGTTCGAAGGAGGAGAGAAGAAGAAGAGCGACAAAGATTGTTCCTGGGAATAAAGTGCTCGAAGCGCTCACGGAGATATGAAGGACAAGTGGGGTTGTATAAAGTTGAATAGAGTAAGGAAAGAATATGGAGATCTCGACGCCGCCGAATAGGTAACCAATTTAGCTGTTTCCGAAATTCCGAAACATGATCGAACTTTTTAAGACCAAATATGAAGCGGATACAGAGATTTTGTAACCGTTCTAGCTTACCCCAGAGTTCTTCAGTAGCGTCGAGAAAAGAAACATCAGCATAGTCAAGAAGGGGAAGAAGCAGGGATTGAGAGAGAAGGACTTTAGTCTGAAAAGGAAGAAAATTTTGAAGACGTTTGAGAGAGTGATATGTTCCAAAAACCCTTTTACTCACCTCTGTAATGTGTGTGGTCCATGACATGTTGCAGTCCATAAAAACCCCGAGATTTTTTACTTGTGTCGAATATGTCTTGTTATAGGACACTGGAGGAAGTGAAGTGTGATCAAGGCTATTATACATGTACCTGCCACCAATAATGATAGCTTGAGATTTAGCGGCATTGACAAGCAGCCCGAACGATTTTGCCCATGTACATATGTTTTGCAGATCATTATTGATGGCAGTGACGGCTTCTGTGATTTCATCAACCTTGAAATGGCGGTATAGCTGCAAATCGTCTGCATAAAGATGATAACGAGAAGAAATAACTTTGGTGATTTCATTAATGAAAATGGAGAAGAGTAGAGGAGATAGTACGCCACCCTGGGGCACGCCTGCAATAAGGTCACACCAGTCTGAAGATGACTCATCCGTGCGAACCAGTTGCGTGCGACCCCGAAGATAAGAATTGAACCAGGCGATTACAGAATCAGATACATTCAGAGACGATAGGGTGCCCAAGAGGATGTCAAAATCAACAGAGTTAAAGGCGCTGCTGAAGTCCAGTAGTACCAATACTGTCAGTTGTTTATTTTCCATAGCGAATCGTAAATCGTCTGTTATTTTAACTAAGGCGGTTACAGTACTATGGCCAGCACGAAAACCAGATTGGTATGGACTCAACAGGCTATTAAAGGAAAGAAAACTGCTCAGTTGACTCCGGACAATCCTCTCAAGCACTTTGGAAAGGATCGGGAGAATGGATATAGGTCGAAAATGAGATACTAAGGAAGGGTTAGCAGTTTTAGGTAAGGGGATAACATGGGCCTTCTTCCAGGATGATGGAAACACGTTTTCTTTGAGAGAGAAATTTATGATATGAGTGATAGCTGGAACGACGTCACTTAAAATAGGCCGCAACATTTGTTGTTGAATGCCATCATCACCTATTGCTTTTGTGGAGATAGATAGGATATGTCTCTTAACGTCACAGCCTGTAACCGGTTCAAACGAAAATGAGGTACATTGAGGCAATGGAAGACCAGCTAGATAGCTAAGAGTAGATGCCTTGTCTGAAGTATCTACACAAGCAAGGTGAAGTGGAAAAATGCCTATTCAGCACATTGAGATCAATAGTAGTTGAAGTGTGGTTAGTCGCTTTACCAACACCAAGAGATCTAAGGAATCGCCATACCTGTGGTGAGTTGAAATTTTTAATGGAATCGTGAATGTGGCGTCTTTTCGCATCCCGACACAGACGACTGCAGCGATTTCGGAGAACTTTATAGACTGACCAATTCTCATCCGAAGAGTTCTTTTTATATCTTCTCATGGCTTTATCGCGCTTGACCATTAGATGCTTAATTTTTTCGGAAAGCCAAGGAGCAGGAAGATTCTTAACTCTTACTTTTTTTAGTGGCGCATGTTTATCGAAAAGATCTAAGAGTATTTTATTGAAATTTTCAATTTTAGTGTCAATATCGCCACAATTATATATAGGAGACCAATCTATTTTTTCGACATCCCCTCTCAAACATGCTTCATCAATGTTTCTAAAACTGCGTAAAACAATGTATTTAGGCTTAGCTTTAGGAGAGATAGTTTTGTAGGAGAGAAAAATGAGGTCATGGTATGAGAAGGGAGCAGAAAGTTGTCCATGAGCGGCAACTTTATTAACATCCGAAACGAAAATTAGGTCTAAGAGAGAGGGATTAGAATGAGGAGCGTGATGTGTTGCGTTTAACGGGAGAATATGCATGTTAAGTGAGGAGACCAGGGACCGGAGTTTTCGGCTGCGTACATCATTCTTGAGTAGACACGTGTTGAAATCCCCAAGAATAATAGTATCACTGTATAAGGGTGATAAATTTTCCAGCTTGGTTTCGAAAGACGAGAAATAGTCAATATGACAAGAAGGGCTATAATAAACACCCACTAGCAATTTAGTGTGATGGAAATCTATTTCTAGGAAAAGGTGTTCTGCAAAGCCAGAGTAATTGCTAGGGGACTGATCAATGACTGTAAATGTGAGATCAGATCGTAAATAGATTGCAACCCCACCATAGCCCTTGCCAGTTCTGTCATTTCGTATAAGCCGGTAGCCTGATAATGCATATTGTGAAGAAGGCAACGTAGGTTTAAGGAAGGTTTCAGAGATAAGGACAGCATGGATGAAATTTGGATTGAAAGAAGATAGAATATCAGGATAGTGAGCGTGTATACTTTGGGCATTGATATGCACTATATTGAGGAAGTTGTGAAAAGAGCCAAGAATGTTAAAAAGTTGTTTATCTAAATTAATAGACTCACCCTCACTATCACTAAGTGCACTGGCGTAGTCCCCATCCGAAGCACAAGAAGATGAACAAGATATAAAACTTTCATCAAAATAACCAGACATTAAATAAAATGAAGATAAAAAAA